TGAATTACACCACCAATACCAATTCGCAAAAGTCCTTACTTCAGTTAATTTCCTTGGATTTTCCTATTTCCTGTTGCGGAACATAGATGTTGGTAAGCGTTTTTTCCTCCAGGGCAATAAATGTGCCACCCTATCTGATTAACGGGCATTAGGGGTGGTGGAGCATGCCTCATAAAGTACATCTGAAAGAAGATAGAGTTAGTTTCACACTACTTTAAAGGTTCATAGTAGCATTGGGGTGGACAAACATCCATCAAGCTGACGCTCAAAGCTGATAATTTCATTCATAATTTTGATTGTTTATCTAAATTGCTTAGGAAAAACAATTTTTAATGCATTCAAGGTATATTTTTGTTTAAGTTGCATTGTGTACTTCAACCCATGAGTCGATTTTTTAGTCTCAACATTGTGCTACATTGGAAACCATGGTTACATAATTATGGTGCTATAAACTCAACCGTAGCTTAACATTTTTAACCTAAGATAGATACGGTGGGTGGGTGAGCACCTAATGTTGGGACTGTTCACTCCTATTATTCCATTATTGAATGGAAAAAGGTTTATAGTTTTTCATGAAAATACTTTCTCTTATGGGCGCTTCTAAAAGTTGTTATCGCGTTGGGCTTGTTGTTATTTTCTTATCAGCACAGTCAGAATAGGCTATTCGGGATTTGCAAAAAAACGCACCCAAACACCCTAAATTACCTTCTTTTAAAATACCATATTTCAATTTAAGGCAGATAGAGTGCAATTAGACCCATTCAAGTCATGAACTGCTTAAGCTAGTCTTTTCTCATCACTTGTGTACACAGCATATCTCGTTCTGACAGTTGTTTTGACAGCCCCTTCACGCACCTGGAATGCAGTAAGCTTCGCACCAGATACACTGTCTTGCCACGATTACGCAGTTTCACCAGCACAAACTACTCCTACTACTGATTTACCAGGAGATCTCCTTATCCAGAGGGGAGTGGTATTAAACTAAACCTCTAAAATGAATTATTCAAAATGCGCACCCTTGATTACCAAAATACAAAATGCCCAAAATTACTTCAAAAATTTCAGTCACGAGGTATCGAGGAAGTTATTTAGTTGCGCTTGATTAGTTTTGCAGTCGGGAGTGCCCAAGGAAGGTTTTGTTACCTTAAATTTCCTTCGCTACTTTATGGTAGCAATGATGTTCACTAAGAAATGCTCATAATTAGTTTACTTCTACTAGGCTCACGTGCTTATTTAACCAAAGGACATGGTAAACACTTTTTTTACCATGGAACTCTAAGCACTCACAAGGCATGCCACTATGGGAGAATCATTTATCATTAACGTACGTAATGCATGAAAGGACATAAGCAAAGGCGAAGGATCACAAGTAGCCAAATAAACATATAAATATATGCTGCCTAAGTTTATTGCAAAAGATCGCTGAGCATAAAGATAGCTAAAATAAGATCCATTTTGCTGTTGTAATCCGAAGTTCACTTCCCTCATATCCATCCCCTTGTACTAGTAAAGAAATTGTAGATTTTGAGCAGCTGTTCTGATTGTAAGTTACTGTTATACAAATTTACCAATTTGATGCCATAGAATTTATGGTTAGAACAAACAGATGGGAATCTCTTGTTTCGCGAAAACCCCTTAAAATCATAGCCTCAACCCCCAAAGGTTTTATTACCGCTATCAAAGAGCACGACCATTGTACATGTAGAGTACTTATTTTGTAAGTCCTTGAGGCGTTTTTGTTGGCGAACTATCGGACCCCCCATCAACTTTCCCCAATCAAAACTGCATTCCACATGTCCCAACAACTAATGTTAAATACAAATTGATTCATTTAAAGTTGCTTCAGGGACTGAAAAGCAATGCAGCAAATGTAGACAGTAACGTACTTTACTTTATCGTATCATTTTCAGATTTCGAAGCATTTGAGCAGGACACGATTATTTGCGACTAGGGTAATTTGCATTTGATTCTTATCATGATCCAACAATATACGACCAACTTTGCGTTGGAGTTATAGACGGGTGCTTTATCCCTCTTGCTAAGGCTTTTATAAGACCTTTTCAACTTGCCTTTTTTTTATAAAAAGGAGTTGTTAGAACCAAGGATCACAGTAATTTTTCTGTCAAATTGGGAGCTATGCGATAAACGCAGTAATAATGTCAAATTAGTAATCGCTGCCAAAGGATGTTTATTTACTTGATTGACTTTGAAGATATGAATCCGCAGTCTAGATTCTTTAGACGATGTCACACAGCAGCTTTATTTGAATCACTTTAGATCCATTTCTTCGAATTTCAAGGCCTAAGTAAGTCTTCGCGTTTTCTAGGATTTTCACTACGTTCCATTTGCTCACTTCATATGATTTTACAAAGGCATCCAAGGCAATGAATGGAGCGGTGGAAAAAATCCCACTCATCTAGCTTGTCAAAAAGCCAGTGACAGCATAAGTGTAGCCACTCCTCGTAAATCTCGCCTAGGGGATTGTTCCCTCGCCCCTCTCCCATCAATCCCTTTCTCCTCTCGCGCTGACTATGTTCACAACTTTTGTGACCATGGCTACACAATCCCACCAGCATCTTGTCAACAAGAGAAGCAACAACAATGAAACGACTCATTTCACATTGCTTCCTGTTGCTTGTTGAGTCATTGTCAGGGCCACGCCCAGGTCTGAGGTCGATATCACCAAAAAGAGTTCCCTTGATGAAAACTCCGCCATATGCATGGTAATAGGTTTGAATTAAGGATAGAATTCTGTTTTTTGGGCTACACAAAAACTTATTCAAGAATGATTTGGCTAGTAAATGCTAAAGTTTTGTAAAGTTGCCC